CAAATAGTCCCTTCTGGCACATTGGACATTTTCAGTAGCATACAGCTAGGAATACTACTGTTTTATAGAGACTCTTTCCAGTTAAAGGGCAAATTTGGATAATGAGACTCCCAGAAAGGGCAATGTTATCCCTGAATTTATAAATACACATTAACATGAAAGGAGAAATAATTAATTTTGTCTTTGTATCTACTACTGTTTATGCCACTTTTAGAATAACTTTTTGAACTGTAATACACACACTTCAGAAAGTCTGAAAAGCCTACGAGTTCACATGGTGGTCACAGAAGGGCCACATTGTAATGACACAATTCTGAGAAATCCCATATATTAATCTGATTAAAACAAAATTTATATAGTGATTTGAAAGGGAAGAAGCTCTACTAAAACAGTGGGACTCAACTTTGCTGATAAAGGCATGACCATATCCCCTAGACAGACGCTGAAGCAATTTGTTTTTTTCAGAATAAAGAGGAATTAATGAAGGGCTGAAGATAAGGAAAGAAAAATCAATTAAATGATAAGATGCAATCTCTGTCTCTGAAGTACCCTAAGCCACAGAGCTGGGGACTTCTATCAGGGGAAGTATCAGTATGAGCTGTCCTGTTTTCTTTGCAAACACTCACAAATGACTACTGTGAAGGGAAGGGCAGATAACTGGGTAACCTAGGACAGTTGTTCCCAAATTGTGCTCCGAATGATTCTTAATGTGAGATTGAATAGCTTCTAAGGAGTATTTTTTAATTACTCTTGCTTTTAGAATAAATTACTTACATTTTTATGCTAAGGGTGAGTGGAAGTACTATTGAATCTTTGTGATACTTTCTTATAGTCAAATCTGTGAATTAGTATGTTTCTTTCTTAAAAGTTTATGTTTATTTTTAATGTGGGAATGCATTTGCAAGCATAGAACTCTGTGTGAGCTACATAGTTGCAAAACCACATGCATTAGGCCTCAAAACAGTTTGCAGGGATCAGGAAGAATCTTCTCTCTTTGGTCTGCAGGAGACAAATGGCTGTATTCCTTAAGGTGCCTGGGATTGGCTATGGCTGCAGAAAATTTACCTAACAAATTTGAGCAGTGGTTATAATATTCACAGAGAATTCGTCTTGTATATCTGTTTGACTTGTGTCCTATGCAAATAATCATGATCATGCCAGTCATAAGATTTTCAAAGGAAATGGATTCTTTTTCAGATAAGAGAGACTTCTTATCTGTAACTATCTGTAAGAAGAGATAGTCTGTAGCTTACATCTACACAAATACATGAAATAAATTTGTTAGTGGCTTTTTTATAGCACTGTGTACCACTGGCACAGATCTTGTGTACACACTACTAAGATGGCTTCTCCAAAACAGATTAGTTTTGTATGTGTTGCCTGTTAATAATCATGGCCATCTCCACAACTTTTCGTGGGAGTTCTTTGAGATCAGTTGTTCTCATGGGCCAAATCTGTGCAAGGAATGTTTCTTAAATAATGGTGATAAGAGTTTTAAAGCAGTTTGATTATGCAGATAGTAGAATTTCAGTGTCTAGTGTGATCCCTTTCACTTTTTAATACGGTGTGCAAGTATATTTTAGCATGGTGCCTGTATATACTGCCAAAAAAGACTAGGATTTTTTCTTTTTAAGGTGTTCCTGTGTGGTGCACTAACTCTTGCTGTTTGATCCATGGCATGACAGGAGTGTACTGCTGCTCCAGTCCTTGACCAGCCTATTGAACAGAAAATGGTCTGTCTGTGCAGTTTCCTTCTGGCTGATGTGTCAGTCAGAGTTGTCAGTGACAATTGTACATTCATCATGCATTTCCTGTCTGTCTGTGCAGCTCTTCAACAGCCCCACAGGAATGCTCAGCAGTCCCAGACCTCTTCCTCATCTGCCTCATGAAATGACTTCTAGTTTCTTCAGGGCAGGCATGGCCATGTAATCAACCATCTTCCCTCCTACCTCTTTTCCATTCCACTTCCCCAGTGTGGTCACATTTCAGGGGCACTGCACCCACTTTATTAGGAGTTATATGATCTTTTTTGGCTTGGGGCACAGATTTTTCTTGGCTGTCTCAAAATGGTCTGGCTGCCATCTTATCCCAAGTTATTTACCTATGTAACTGTGTTCTTTCATTCAGCTTTTGCGTGGTGTCCCTTCTACACCATCTGTCAGTGAATTGAACCAACATTTTTGCAGTTGTCATAATTGTGACTGTTTTCATAATCTTTAATGGTTGGTTGAGATAATTGTTGGCTTGAGACTCTCCCTTTTGGGTCTCTTTCGCTCCTGAATTATATACTAGGCATCTGGTGATCAAACTGCACCTTTGTGCTGCTTTTTTGGATGTGGGCTTTTTGTTTAGTTTTGTTTGTTTGTGGTTAAATTTCCCATAGCAATTAGACCTATCTAATCTCATGGCCAGTCTTGATGATTTGTATTTTCAGGGGTTTCTTATATTAAATTTACTAGTGTCTAGTACTACATATGTAGTCTTCTGCATTTGGAACCCAACAGCTGAGAACTAAATGGATTCCTTGAAGGTTCAAAATAAATTTTGAAGAAGTGTGTCAAAACCAAAAAAAAAAAAAAGACAAGTTAATCTGATTTTAAATCATATATAGAGGTAAATGATGGAAGCAAGCAATTTCGTTCATAAGAATGCTGTGACCTTTCAGACAAAACACAAGGGGAAACGATTCATATGAAAGTAATAAGATGAAAAAATGGAGCTGTAAGATGATGTAGATAAAGTAAGTTATTAGACTGAAAATATTTTCAAAAGATCAGAAAAAATTTTCCTGATAAACCTGGGCCTAGGAGAGTGTATGGACATCCTTACAGGAAATTAATAATTGTCTATAAAATTTGAATTTTTAGTGATAGCATATTTAGAACATGTTACTACCCAAGTATGTTCTTGCAAAAATAATTGCTGTATTGAAAAATAAAGTTATCTTTTCCTTAGTTTTATTATCTAATTTAAGTTTCATTGCCATCATATTTTCTTAAAAATGTTAGGTTATGCATGAAGAAGAACACACACTTCCCAGCAGAAACTGAAGAATACTGTAGTCTTTGTTTTTCAAAAATATAACAGAAGCAAGGGACTTAATTAATATAATTCTTTCCTGTCACAGTTCTTCGTGAAACTGAACCTTAGGTGAGGAGTAACTTCAGAATCATTCCTGTAGGACAATAATTTGATTCAGACCATCAGGAAAGTTTTTAACTCTGCTGAAGTCAGTGACAACATTTTACTTGAGTGGAATTGGCTTTATTTTCAAACATCCATTTTATCTAAGGATGTATGTCTTTAATTGTTTTTCCTTACCTGCCATTGGATATTGAAAAGCAAAAGACATGTGTATTTCAGAGACTTTTTTCCATTCAGTTTTCAGCTTTGTTCTAAGGAATTTAGTTAGGGTTTTCCTCAATAAATAAGACTGAGCCATCTACTTTCTCTGAGGAACAAATTTTCAATAGGATTAGGTTCAAACACCCTCCTAAACACAGAAATAAGAAGTTTGGTTCCTTAATTATGTAAAAGGCAAGAAATGTTCAATAAAAAGCCTTTTTTTTAGTCTGAATCCATGTCATCTTGAAACTTAGGGCCATTTCAATCGTTATATTTCAAGGGAAATAGGAAAGCTTTTTTATAAGAATATTTTCTATAAGAATGCTGACTTGGTTACCTTCACCTCCTCCAGACAGCAAACAGGAAATCAGTACACATTTGAACCACCTTGATGAAATTAATGCACATGAACATTTAAGTTCAAAATTACAGCTTAATCCCACAAACTGCTCCACACTCAGTACCCTTTAAAAATCAAAGGAATTCCATGTGGTCACAGAAGTCTGCATGCACAGAGAGTTTACTGGATTTGTTCCAAATTTTAAGCTTTGTTATTTTGTCCATGGATTTGGATTGCAGACAGAACATAACTCTTTTAGCAGTGAAAGGTATCTATCTTGTGATTAGACTCTTATGTGATAGCAGTCTTTACAGTATTTTTACATAAAATGTCTGGTGGCCCAGAATGAGTAACTATTTGGGTTTAAGATTAAGGCATAAAGATGGTATCTTTTAATATTTTTTCTCACTTGGCTTTCTAAAGAGTAGAAATTATTCTGAAGCATAGTATACTTCAGAAATCAAGGAAATATGTATAAATTCTTGAAAATAAATAGCATTGTGGGAGTGTAGTTTTATCACTATCTATATTATAGGATGGCATATTCAAAATATGAAGGTGTAATTAATGAATTGATTGCTGTATGGCCACCATGCTATTTTAAAAGCTATGCCACAGAAAACATTTTCATTTCATTGCTAGTGCCAAATATTTGCATATTAACTACACAAAACCTCATTATCTTCTGTGTTTGAAAGATTGTATCTACAATGGCAAAATTTTTCCTTTAAAGAAATATTTTAGCTTTTTGTAGAAATGGTTTTCATTTTAGGTTAGCACATATTCCTAAGGTACACTATAATTATGGAAGGATAATGAGAAGGGCACTATAATGTAAGATCATAAGATCTTTTAAAAAATGTTACAAAAAAATTCTTAAAAAATGTTTTTTTAACTAGAACCAAAGTCTAAGTAGTATGACTTAGCTGATAAGTGTGAGACCATAGAAGGCTTTAAATTATGTTGAATAAGTAAAATGTAAGGTTTAAGAATCAGTAGCAGTCTGTAGCCATGCTGCTGTAACTTCATAACAGAATGGTAGACTGCTTTATGGAGCTGGTGATTACAAAGATCCACTTTAACAATTTTTTTCTTGCTGGCAGGTGTCCCACTGGCCTGAGGCCAGCGGCTGTGAGTGTACTGCAGCTTGTGGTTTACACCAGAGTGTAGAAAAGGCCGACACCAGCTGGCTGCACATAATTAAACTGATTGCGGTCTGACAACTTGGACTATGATACAGATATGTGATAAATATACAAAGTATCTTACAAACCTGATTCACTGACATACTTTATCTACATTTTTTTCTTAACAGATATGATATCTGCACTTACAAAAACAAGCCTTGTGGAACACTGGGTAAGATTATAAAGAGACATTTCAGCTCATATTTGCTGTTTCCTGGCTTTATACGTAGCTATTGATTTATTGACTGATTAGATCTTTTTAAGTTTGTAGTTCCAAAATTTTGCAGCTTTATAAACATGAAAAAGAAAAGATAATCCAGGTGGATCTTGGCTTTGATACATTGCTGAGAGTTTGTGTGAGCTGGTGCTGTGTATTTCATCTCTGACAGCTGTAATACTGATAAAACCTAACGGATGACTCAGTTTTACTTCTTACGAAAGAGAACTTGCTGTTTATTTCCATTTACCCTTGTCTATAATCTAATTTAAATAACAGAAGTAAAAATCCTCAGGAAGGTTATAAAACCACCCCCATAAACATTACAAAAGAAATTGACTTTGAGGTTTACACTGTTGCTGGGTTGTACACTGCAAGTACAGCTTCATGTTTTTCCTTTCACAGACTTAGAAAAAATAGCAAAGTGATAGAAAATACGGTAACATTGAAACTACTTAAAACAGTGCTCTGACGATGGAGAAGTGCATATGTCAACTCTAGAATAAGAATGGAGAGCTATTGTTCTCCCCATACCTAAATATATCACCAGTAGTTATTTACTACAACAAATAACTACACATGACCTATAGGTTGTTGCTTCCAATAGTGCTTTAACATATAAAAGGAGCATTACTCAAAGATTAGCATAACACTTGTTTAGATTTTTTTTTCAGTTTTCATCCTTTCATAAGCCTCTTTCTTGAAGGTGATTAAAGACAAAATTCTAATTCAGCTAGTTAATATTATTAATATTTTTCTCATTCAGAATTCATGATTGTACTTGCTTTGTCTTTCCTATATTACTGTATATCACTATTACTGGTAGCCTTAACCTATGTTAATTTTTTCTTAAGTCTGTCACAAGTCAGTACAATGTTTTTGGCAGAGGGGTGTAGTTTACATGGGGAAAAGTACCAGAATTTTGCCTGCTACAAACAAAACCCACAGCATGCTTTAGTTAAAGGCAAATCATACTGATGAATTTCCAAATGTAATTGATTTTATTTGACATTGGAGGTGAGGAAACTGAAGAGATGATTCCTTAGAAGTGGCTTTGCAAGTGTTAAAAAAAGAAAAGTTGAAAGAGAATACATTCATGCATGAACTATTCAATATTTTTATGTGATACTTTTGACACAGATCATTAGTGTAACTAACTCTGACTCTATCAGATTTTGGCATAAAGGCAATTTTTGGTTCACTTGAATCCAGTGTAACAGAGGATAGATTTGGCACATATTTTATTAAACTAAAAGTTTAATTAAAAAAAATTAAAAATAAGAGTTACATATGGTATCAGTTCCAACTTACGGTTATAGGGGTCTTGGCAACACAACCATGACAATTTCTGTGCATTATAGACATTGAATTGGAGAAGAGACAAGGCCCTGTAGTCCTCTTTTGCAAGGCATTTGATATGCTTAAGTCTCACTGACATCCAATAACTAAAGTTAAACATATATATAAAGGAGTCTGTGAAAAAAAGTCACAGAGAGGTTTCAGAAGGTCAAAAGAAACCTGAATAATTGGTATTCTAGGAAGAGACAGAAGTAAAAGATTTCATGTGGCGCAAACATCTGTATCCTATTTCAGACACCTGAGGCAGGGAGCCTTTCATGGAACCCCTTAGAAAAGGTCTCAGATGTCTATGCAGTGTGTCTGTGGCTCCAGTGAAGGACAAGTCCTTTTAAAGTCTTGAGTCACTGACTGAGTTCTTAGCTTGATCTCTGTCACTTTCTGCAAGCATAGTATGGAGTTATTTTACTCTGCTCTTTTCAGTGCTGAAGCAAGTCCTCACTTTTAAGACCTGAAGATGGAGATGACTTTATCATTCAAATATGGTGGACTTTGCAGAGGAACATGATAATTGTATATATATGTATTGCCATGTTGTTTTCAGAATTCTTCAATTAGAACAGCATGGGTGAACTATAATTATTGCTTTTTTTGTAGGTTCCACACTGCAAACTCTCCAGACACACATTGTTAGCTTTTGCCCATGTCAATTTGGCTATCAGAGTAGTTTTGCTGTGTCCAAACTAGGTTTATTTGGAAGAAAACATAGAACACATACCCCTCAAATACTCTACATGTGCCTACAGGAGACCTAAGATTGCCCATGGGGTATGTTTTCATGATACGCCTGCAATATTTTTTTCCCTTCAGGAAGCTTTGAGCCACACCTATAGTGATTTTCAGCCTACAGGATTCAACTAGTCCAGAATGGCCAAACCAACATGCAAAGATACGTGAAGAGTCTCAGCTTCAGTGCTTCACTGTGCTGATCCATGCCTACAGCTTCAAATTAATTGCTAATGTGGACACAACAGGAAGCACTTGTTATATTATGACTTTCTTACTGTTGGTCCAAATAGAATAATTTGAAGTCCCTACTCGTATAAATAGTTTGCTTTCTCTCTGCCCCACTCACTGTTCCATTCCCCTCATCTCTCAACCAAAGTTAAGAATTTTCAATTTTTTTAATTGTTATTTTTGTAGTTGTTTAGAATGTACTTGTTTATTTATAAATTATTCTTTTTTCTGTTTCGTTTTTTATTTTTGGTAATGTAGTTAACTGAGCAGATAACGTCCTTAAAGAAAGGTTTGCTGCTTCTTTCAGATATGAAATTCTAGGGGAGAAATACATTAAATAAACCTGATGTTTAAGTCTTTCTCTAATGGTACTAAATTATGACTGCAGTATGTTCTGTAATAATTTGTTGCTGAAAAATGTGTATGATAGAGAAGAACCATAGTCAGTAAATGCCTGTGGTGTTCTCTCTCTGAAGAAAGTTTTTAAAAGCCCTTGTAACACAATAAGATTTTCATGCCAGAAGATGATGGGTGACAAATGGAAAAGACTTCCATGCTTAAATGCTTGCTTGTTATTAACATGTCTCCTCTCTCTTCACTGATGCATTTGGTTTTGGTTTTTTTTTTTTTTATTTTTTAACGTACCATGTGAGGTTTCTCATAGCTAAAAAAATTGCTTGTATGTTTTTATGAACCCACTAAACTTAAACAGATTTCTTTAGAAAAATAATGTGGATACATTTTGCTTTCTTCAGGCACAAGAATGTTAAAATAGAAATGCTTTCTTGAATTCCCTCTCCTGGCTCAAGTTACTAGGTGGTCCCAAGTTACCAGAAGTAAAATTTATAAATCTAACCCCTAGTCTAGACATTTTCCAGCACTGACTGCAGTTCAAAAAATATTAATGTCTAGCCGGCAAAGTGAAATTCCCCCCAGTGATTTTGCAAATGACTAGAAAGTTAACCTTTTGCCAACTGCTCCTTCTGTGCATAGAAGTTATTAAAAAGAATCCAGGCATTTATAACTAGGGCTTTTAAGACTGAAACACCTTGGCATGATCCTTTGTGTCTCCTTCTGTTTATTCAGGCTTGGCCTCTGTGGCTGGAATGTGTGAGCCTGAAAGGAGCTGCAGCATTAATGAAGATATTGGCCTAGGTTCAGCTTTTACCATTGCACATGAGATTGGTCACAAGTGAGTGAGTTTAAAATAAGAATAAATTTCAATTTACCACATTTTTAATATTAGTTAATAATTGATATAAGTTTTTTCCTGCATCATCTCTATTCTGATGTTCCATGTTTCTGTATATGGCATTCATAAGTGGCATTATATTTTATTTAGTATGTATTACCAGGGACTTTAAATTTAGAACTGAAGACTCATTGTATACTCTTTGATTTCAGATTCCAGTTAAATCTGTCCTTCTGAGACTTGACTCACAACCTTCCTACTCTGTTTCATATTTTTAAATATTTGGCTTTGAAAATATTTTCTCCCCCATTACTTTTTTCTGCCTTTCTTTAGGAAAAAGAAGTGGTTAAAAGGTAAAATTTTTTTGCTCTTTTTATTTTGTCTTTAATATAATTCAACCTACTATCATTGAAACATTGATTCTGATGTCAATATTCGTATGCTTTAAGTCCTCTTTCACTCAAGCATGATTTGTATAAAACCAGCATAGAGTAATCAGCATCACTTGTTACGTTTAAAGTATTAGCATATAGAGTATGTTGCTATGACATTGATAAAATCTGAGTAGTGTATGGTCTGGAAATATTTAAGGATTTCCATCAAAAGACAGCACTCAGTACAATGTGATGATTCTAAAAAGACTGGACACCTTTTATCAAGAGGTTTTCTTTTTTATGTACATGGGTTGACCAATACAGAGTTATGGATGACATGCTTTTCTACCCAATAGCTCATGGAACTGTTAAAATTCCAGTGTGGACTGAAATGAAAGCTAGCAATCTGCTGATCAAAAAAAGGAGTTGAAATAAACAGTTATTTTTAGCCTACCTATCAGATAATCACCAGGCAACTCTGCTCGCATTTATATTATGTATTAAAAAGTCCCTACACATTTCCCTTCCCTTCCCTTCCCTTCCCTTCCCTTCCCTTCCCTTCCCTTCCCTTCCCTTCCCTTCCCTTCCCTTCCCTTCC